ACTTGATTGTGATAAAATTTCGAAGAATTCCGTTCCCGCGTTCTTGGTGTCTCAAATAGCGTTCCGGCATCTGATCTCATTTCTTTTAATTGTATGCTAGTAACTGGGCTGGTTGTCTGTAAGGCTTGTTTTGTTGAATGTATATTCAGATTTGTTCTAAATTTTTTTTTTTTTAATCTCTGGACTATTTTGAAGCTTGACGCTGTACGCTAGAAACCGGTTTCAGAGAAGAAGACAACTATTTAAGCAACGAATCTTTAATTAGAGTACTTCTCTTTAAAATTAAAAGCACTTTTTATTATTGTAATTTTTTTTTTCAAGTATACCACTTGTCTTAAATGTTTAAAAGGACTTATGTTGTAGCAGACGGCGCGCACTTGTGCCCTACTTTGAAAGGTGGCTGAAATTCGAGGTTGCGAAGTTAAGGAAAAGTTTCTCTGATTCTGTCCCTGACGCAAATGCTTCTCGTCTCAAATATTTTCTCGCGTTTCTTCCTCGATTTTGCAGTGAATCACAGTTAAGGCCGGTTCAGACACTTGCGTTTGAGTGCGTTTGACTGCGTTGCGTCGAGAACCGAAAGCGAGTCACCGGCACATCTGTGCTTTGTATGAAGCGTGGACTCCAATTCAAGGAATCATCTTGGCACGCGATATAAGCAGCAGGGATGTCCTGGTTTCTGGCAGCCGCAACGCAGTCAAACGCAGTCAAACGCAACTGTCTGAACCAGGCTTTAGTCTTGCGAGAGACAAAAATTAGAACCGCGTCACAAGGATCACGAGAAAGTTATCGACACATCTAGTGCCTATAAAAAAAGCTATTCAATGCTGCCAGCCATGCTCTAACGCCACGAAAGGAGCAAATATTGAACTCCATATGATAACGACAGCGTAGTGGAATTTCTTTTCCTTCACTTTATGATAGGCGAACAAACATTATTTTTAGGTTCCATCTTTCCAATAGAACGATCTCACTAAGCGTTGGGCGCATGCGTAAAGCCGCCATAACTTTAGTTCGCAGGAGGCAGACGGCCGTGCAGGCGAGCGCTCGTGCCTTCTCGTGCTCTACACGCGAAGAGCTCCAGCGAGGTAGTCGCACGTGCCCAAAGACTAAAGTTCCCTCGCTGCATTGCGGCAGCGGTGGCGTAGTCAAACTGGCCGGTGAGATCGGTCTATTGCGCCGGTTCTGTTTTGCGCCTCATCGTGCAAAGATTTGAGATTTTGAGTTTTAACGTTTTTCTACTCGTAGACAGCTTACGGAGAGTGTCATGTCCAAACCGCAGTGACTGGCAGTGACTGGGCCTCACGGTAAGGCAACAAACAGCTAGTCATCGTGGCTCAAATCTGAAACTCAGGAAAAGTTTCTAATAAACCCCTTTCCCATGAAGTGCGCTATCAAAAGCGTTGCACATAAGCGAAACCCATTTTATGTCACCTTTCTTTAGATTACTTTTTATTTCATTTATTGAAATAAGAATAAGGTCAGACGATCAACTTTCATGGTGTTGGTTTAATAATGCAACGACTCTAAGCTTCCAATTTGTACTTTACACCAACTATGACTCTTGCCATTTCGACAAAAACCCCGAGACTGGGACAAAAAGGGACGGACAAACACAAAGTCTTGCCCTTTGCAACTAATGATAAGGAGCCAGGGCCGACTTGCTAGAAACAGCGTCTCAACTGAGACGGGGGGAAAGAAAGCATTGCCAAAGCCAGCGCACGAGCTGAGCGGCACCCAAGCAGCGTGTCAAGACATTCGTGCGCCCCACCCTTTGCAGCGCTATCTTCCACTCAGTGTCAGCCGAGACGCTGTTCTAGCAAGCCGGTCCAGGATCACAACCCGTGAAGCTTTCTCGTGCTTCCCTATAGTTTAGCAACATAAATTCTCCATTTCTGTTGAATTCAAACAGAAAATATATTTAACGATGCACGAAAGTTTTGGTATATTTTTTCAAGGTCAAATTATCAAAATAAATAATTATTCGTAAAACATATCAAAATCACTTTAAAAAAAACTTTGGTTGTTATTTTGTAACCTCATGAATATAGCCATTCCTACAATGGTCCTTAACAAGGACCAGTAGTATAAATAAATAAATAAAAAGGAAACTCTTAGAAATCTCCTACCCATTCGCGAAACAATTTTTAAGTTTAAGTCACTGGGGATAAAAAATACGCTTTTACTCTTTTCTTGAACATGCGGATTCTTCGACTTCGGTGTACTATTTTAACAATATTAGGGTTGTTATGTATAAGGTCAGATAATTTTTAATAAAGTTTAGTCAAACTATCATCAACATGATGAGTTATATAGAGCGCCTCTCTGAACACCCATCCTGTAAAAAAAAATAATCTGCTATTGTTTGTTTTATCATAAATCAAAATGAAGTCAAAGACTACAAGGTCAGAATTATAATGCAATTAAATGCAAAGGTGCAAGCGAGCTGGACGAGAATGACGAAATGAATCCCTGGAGAAGGGGAACAAGAGGGACAAAGGACAAACATAAATCTCCAAACACAGCTAGGTGACTGGTGAGCGGTCGCTCACCAGTCACCTAGCTGTGTTTGGAGATTTATGTTTGTCCTTTGTCCCTCTTGTTCCCCTTCTCCAGGGATTCATTTCGTCATTCTCGTCCAGCTCGCTTGCACCTTTGCATTTAATTGCATTATAATTCTAACCTTAAATTTGCAAGCTTCACCCTCGTTGGTGTTAGACTGGTGGCAGCTGATAAAACCCGTTTGCTCTTCTGACGTCTAACCCCTGGTTAGCTCAGTTGGTAGAGCGCTCCACTTGTAATGGAGAGGTCCCGGGTTCGATACCCGGACCAGGCGGATTTTTTCGGTCGCTCACCAGTCACCTAGCTGTGTTTGGAGATTTATGTTTGTCCTTTGTCCCTCTTGTTCCCCTTCTCCAGGGATTCACTTCGTCATTCTCGTCCAGCTCGCTTGCACCTTTGCATTTAATTGCATTATAATTCTAACCTTAAATTTGCAAGCTTCACCCTCGTTGGTGTTAGACTGGTGGCAGCTGATAAAACCCGTTTGCTCTTCTGACGTCTAACCCCTGGTTAGCTCAGTTGGTAGAGCGCTCCACTTGTAATGGAGAGGTCCCGGGTTCGATACCCGGACCAGGCGGATTTTTTCGGTCGCTCACCAGTCACCTAGCTGTGTTTGGAGATTTATGTTTGTCCTTTGTCCCTCTTGTTCCCCTTCTCCAGGGATTCATTTCGTCACTACAAGGTACCGCACAAACGCGCATAATAAAGGCGCATGGTCAAGGTGCAGGGTTGTCGCTTGATTGATCTAACCGGTGAAAAAAACGCACTAAAAGACCTCGATTTTTATGACATAGTGTTTTTTGGCTCTGCTTGATTGGCCTCATTGACTTGTTATGTCGGCTGCGCCCTGACTTACAGTGAAAATAAATTTAAACGTTTATGTCGCGCAAAAGCTCTTTCGTTCACAAAATGCTGACAAGGCATGTCTTATTTATGTTTTTATCGTGTGATAATATTCTTCACTGATTGATTGAATATGTTTTAATTCTTGAATAGGTAAAACAATGGCTACTGGCTCGTGAGCCTCTAACGAAATCGCTTTGCCAATCCTGCAGCGTGGAACAAAGCTAGTATCAAGGAACAAAATTTGCCCAACTTGGCACTCTTGCTCGGGTAAATGAGCTAGCTGGGCTCTGCTTTTGTGCGAACTGGGCACTGCTTGCATCACTGGCACGTTTGCTGGCAGATGTGTCAGCGAGAGCACGCGCTGAGCGCTGAACGTGCACGGGCGAGCAGCAGAAAGGGGGAAATTAAGAGCAGAGGAGGAACATCAGCGGGCACGAGCAAGTTTTCTGACCACACGAATGAGTGCCGCCATCTAGTGGTTGAACTAATGGCTTGTTCAAGATGGCCGCCGTGGGACCTCCGCCTGAAGGTACTTTATTCATTACGATAATCTCATTGTTGACGCAAAGGAACATATTTTCTTAAAATCTAGAAAATTTCCGCATAAGGATCGGAGAAGAAACGACAGAGGAGATTGCCAGCACTGTTCCGACCTGTAAAAGTAAAAAAAGGGGTTTTATTTATTGCATTATTCTGGGCGACGTTTTGAGGGCTGGTTTGGACCTCCCTTTAGATTAACTCAGTTACGAAATTGCCCATTGAAGCTGCTTCCACGACCAGGATCCCCTTACTTTCTACGGTCCGCATCCCGCCGTTGGATGCTCCGTAGTTTTAGGGACGGCTGCTCTGGTAAGTGAGGTGTATTTTATGGAATACAATACACAGGTATATAAAATGAGAATATTTCAACAATATTGCAGACCGGAGTAAGAACAAATTGAATGTCACGCACCTGGAATCAAACGCCGGTGATGCCACGTACAGCCCCTTCTACAAAGTTGCCCGGGTTTTCCTTCGACATTGAAAAAGTATTTATAGAGAAGACAAGCACTGACATCGACGCATCTTCTGATCCAGTTGTGTAAATAAACGTTTTATATATTTATGACCATTTTGTATAAACGAAGTAAGCTAAAAGTAATAACATAGGATTTTTGAAGGACGAAATAATTGCTTAGGTTGTTAATATAATTACAATTTTAAGTTTCATAACAATCTATGAAGTGTCAATATTAGCATTGTTTTGGTATTATACAAAAAATAGTTCTCAAGCCTCTGTTTTAGTCAAACTTTGTGTCTTGTAATAGCATCCGGACCCCATTATACGAATAGTGTATATTGTTTTGTTGGTTTGTCTGCTGCAATTTTCACAGGGAAGAAAAAATATTAAATTAGGGGAAGTTTTGATCAAGAAACACGGTGGTATGGCAGACAGTCCACGTCGGCACATCATAAGAAAGAATCAAACCTCATAAATAAGGTAAATGTGTGCCGATGAATTGAAGACCATTTTTCCGGAATTACTGTGGGGTGATGGCTTTTACGATCTTCGGCCCTCTCTGATGCCGAAGTCTGCGGACGCCCATAAAATCCATTTCTTTTGAAGCACAGCGTCGAGATGGTGCTTCCTCGTACTCTATGGAATGCACAGATTTGAATCAAAACTCTAGATAGCGCTTCAAACGACGGGGGCGGACTAGAGGCCAAGAAGGGGGTAGCCCCTACCGCGGGAGTTCCACAACTGTGCTGATCTACTAACATTGGGAACATGCGAGCACATAATTGCACGCGGGGGAGGATACAAACAGACGAGCCATACACAACCACCCCAAATCAACTAAGGTAATTCGCCATGCGTCTCAGAGCTGGATGGCGCGGTAGTAGGACATGGACATCCGCACAGACTCTTCCACTGAAAACCACGGCTCGAAGCCCAGCACCGTTTTGGCGCGAGTTCCGTCGAAGAAGGGCGCCTTGAAGATGTACCGGATATCCGACGGGGTCGGGAACGGCACCTTGATTGTGTACAGAGGGCGCAAGAGCGTCAGCACTGAAGTCAACAGAAGGCTGAATACAAGGGCGACGCTGTAGGGTAGAGCGAAGCGGGACACTGCAAGGCCGCGGCTCTCGACGAAGGGCAGCATGAACTGGAGACCGTCCGTGGGCGTGTCGTCGGTGACCGTGAAGACCTGCCCGGAGATGTCGCCATCACGCGCGAGCCGGCGCATGGCGTGGATGTGTGCTGCCGCCGCGTTGCCCACGTACGACATCTGCATTGAACACGGGGCACAGGAGGATCGTAAGGCCTGCCGGCGATTCGGGTAACAACATAAATTCGTGTCTTTTCGTAACGCCTCTTTGCTACATTCTCACAAGCCAAAAGGCGAGTAATTACTAAGAATGTTTTCTCTCTCCAATCTTTGACGCTATTTTCGGAGGTTTTGAGGATGTATAGTGCTGCTTGCTCGCAATGTCCGTATGAGTGCCTGCAGTGAAACTCAGACACTTGTGGTACTCGGCTGAAGTGTCCTGCCTCTCCATCGGCAGGTGCTCGTCGGAGATGGGAGTGTGTCTCATATGTGAATCTGTGCCTGAATGTATAGACACGTACACAATTTTCCAGATTTATGTATCTGTTTGTCGAACGTTTATAGAATTTGTGAATGAAGTTCTCCGCGTGCATAACATCACAATGTGCAGTCAGACACTTTAAGTATTTCAACAGCGTATTTGGCCTTACACTCATTACCTGCATGCGTGGGGCAGCCATCCTCACGACGGTCCCCATGGTCAGTTTGGACATTCGCATGTATTGCGTGCAGGTGATTTGATCTTGCTCGCCGTAGATGGGCAGCACCCGGAGTACCACGGTGCGCAGTTGGGAGTGTCCTGCTCTCGGCAGTGAAGAAAAAAAGTATGAACTCAATGTAAGCGCGCGAGCGAGCTTCTGAATATTAAGCATGACGAAACACCCGAGACTGCGGGTAGAAACAACACGTGCACGCAATTTTCTTTTTTTCAGAATCAACGCTGCGATAAGCTTCTACGCCGAAGCGTGGGCTCGGTCAAGCATTATGAGCACAAATACTGCAGTGCGGCCGACTGCCGTCATTGACTAAAATCATTAGACGGCAGCAGAATCGCCTTGAGACCTTACAGTGTATGTGTCGTTTTTAGCCCCAGTGTCGGGGTTTGCTGCGTAACCTCTATAACGCTTCCATTAAGGCGCTCAGCCAATATTTCTACGAGGTCTGGAGGACAGAAAGAATCCCGGGGGACTAAAAACACGCGGACATTACACTCATTCCTGAGCCTGGCAAGTCACTAAGACTTCCAAACCTGCGACCTATCTCGCTCACGTCACGTGTTGGGAAGCTCATTGAGCACGTAGTCTTGTCATGACAACAACCATATCTCGAGGAAGAAGATTACTTTGCTGATACCATGTATCGATTTCGATCGCAGCATTCCACACAAGACGTCCTCCTCCAACTCAAGGAAGAGGTCATGGACTCACAAAGCCAAGCCCAGGCGAGGGGGGTGCTAGCCATCGACATCAAGGGGGCTTCTGATAATGTCTCGCACAATGCTATACTACGCAACCTCACCGAGACCCACTACGGTACGAGGGCATACAACTATGTGCGAATATTTCTTATGGATCGAACCGCCACCCTAGGGATTAGTGACATCCGCTCGTACCCCGTTCGCCTAACTGGGCGCGGGATGCCTAAGGCATCAGTTGTATTGCCCTTGCTGTTCAATGTGTCAATGGCGGGTTTCCAGCACAAACTCAACAAAAAACAACACTTGTGACACGCCCTCTACGCCGATGATATTACGGTGTGGACCACCACAGTGTTGGAGGAAGATTAATCCAGGACAGACTGCAAGAAGCAGTCAACGTGACACAAGACTACGCGGGAGCAGCAGGGCTAACCTGCGCAAATAAAAAATCCGAGCCCCTGGTGATCCGAAAACGCTCAGTACTGAACAAACACGCGCCAACCATCGGCCGAAGGCTAGAAAATACGCCTATACCCCGGGTAGAGCGCCTACGAGTACTTGGCATGCACCTCCAAAACCACGGAGGAGCACGGCACACCGTGGAGCTCCTGCGCAGACAAGCGTACCAAAAAGCCCACCTCATCCGACGGGTGTCCATTCGGGAAGGGGCGCTGAGTGAACAAGATACGCGGCGAATCTTTCAAACCCTCATTCTGAGCCGGTTCACATATCATGCGCCCTCTCACAACTTCAGCATCACCGAAATGGACTGGCTTGATCGCCCTGAGCTCCGCAAGGCGATCAAGACAGCCCTCGGTCTACCAATAAGTACATCAACGAAGCGACTCCTGATGCTGGGGGTCCACCATACGGTGGAAGAGCTAGTAGAATCGCAAAGACCAAGACAGCTCACACGCCTCAAAGCCACCCGATCGGGCCGAGCAATGCTGCGCAAACTTGGTTACACCAATCTGACGCAGGAAGAGCTTTCCGACCCAGCGCGTCTGAAACCGAACATCCTGAACCGCGCACATGCGGCACCTATCTTTAGGAACATGCACCCCGACTTAAACACAGGGCGCAGAGAGGCTAAGATCCGGGCCTTGCAGAAACTCTACGGCCCAGACCCACAAACATGATGCACAGGTGCTGGTCTCCCCAGGGAAAGAACTGGAGCAGCAACCACCGCAGTAACATACAGAGACGGCACCTGCCACAGCTCGGGCTCCATATCAAACATGGCATTAATTCAGGAGGCGGAGAAGATGACAGAGCGCGGCCCATCTCCCACGCAATCCACGCAGAGACACCACTGACCTCGAACATAATATAACTATCGTCACCGACTCGCAAGCAGCGTGCACAGCGTTTGCGGGCAACGCCCTTTACCCACGGACAGCACACCTCATCAACGCTATAAGCACTGACTAATTACAAATACCGGCCGACCGGGTCATCTGGACCCCTGCACATCTGCAGGCTTATCCGGCAACGAAAGTACTTACGCACTAGTTCGAGCAGTAGCGACAAACCGGGCTGTGTCGGATGGGATCAAGCTACAGCCGGGCCCAGAGCCCAACGCACCCACGGACTCCCAGTCCCTACGCACCCTAAGCGACAAACACCTTGACACCTACCATCTGGTAACGGAATACTACCGAATAACCCGTCGGGTCCTGCCCCCTCCGCATCGGGAGCTATCCCGGGCGGAAACAGCGGACTGGTGTCAACTTCAAACGTTTACGTTCCCTACCCTCCACTAGCGACATCGCTGGTTCCCTAACCGCTACCCACGCACCTGTCCGGAAGGTGGCAGCGAGCACCCCAATGTGTACCACTTTATCTGGCAATGTCCCCACCTCCCCGGTGACGGTATCACCCGCCTTCCTTCCCCCACCTTTTCGTCATGGGAGGCGGCCCTATCCGCCACATAGCTCGATGACGAGCAGCGACTGGTTGCGCGAGCCCGCCGAATCTGGGCTGCCGACGGAGCCCTGGACTACACCGTGCCCTGGACTAAGGGAACCAACCAGGGACTGCAAGGTCCTTTCATTTTTTGAATATTAAAGTTTACGATGATGATAATAAAAAATACGCCTAGGGCCCTAAACTCGTCAAATACAAATGTGGAGCCGAACGTTCGCTGAGCGCACCGATTGGACGCCGGCGACAAAAGCGCGAAGTCATCGTCGTGATAGTCCATTCGGTGCGCTCCGTGAACTTCTGCCCATACTTTGTGTTTGACGAGTTTAGAACCCGTAATGTAAATTCCTGCTTTCTAAATGCACCTCCTACGAGCCTGAGGTCCTTTACATGGCAGCCAGAATTACGCCAATAGACGCGAAGGATAAGAAATGGAAAACGTTTTCAAATCTCTATAATGTGAAATTAGAGCGCAGCTCTTGAGGGGGAGGAGGGGAGGGTATGCCCCTCCTCCTCCTCCGTACCCTCTCCACTCCTCTTCCACATCCTCCCCTACTCCTCTGCACCCTCTCCTCCTCCTCCTCCTCCCTCCCCTCCCCTCCTCCCACAGTTTCGCCGCTAAATTTAGTTGAAAAATTGATGCCATGTGACCTCAACACCAATTCAGTTTCCCCGCTAAATTTAGCGGGGAAAATGACGTCACATGACTTGGTGTCCCATCACCTTTGAACAAATTCAGTTTCTTCGATAGATTTAGCGGGAAAACTGACGTCACGTGACCTCAACACCAATTGAAATCCCAGCTAAATTTAGCGGGGAAACGAATTGGCATTGAGGCCACGTGACGTAAATTTTCCCGCTAAATTTTGCGGAAACACTGAATTTGTCCGCTAAATCTAGCGTAGAAACTGAACTTGTCCACTAAAGCTAGCGGAGAAACTTAATTTCCCCGCTAAATTTAGCGGGGAATTGAATTGATGTTGAGGTCACGTGACGTCAATTTTCTCGCTAAATTTAGCGCGGTTACGTCGCCCGGAAACGGCCGCCTCAGAGCTGCGCTCTAAAAACATTGGCAGTGACACCTTTACCTTCACAATTCTATTATGCATGAAATGCTGGAGAAACATCACCTAAGGTTATCTAGGCGGTAGGAGGGATGGGGTGAGATAATTGGTTGTCGCGTGGTGTATATTTTTCTTCGAAATTTAGCGGGGATACTGAATGGTTGTATATGTGACGTGACGTGACGTCGATTTTGCCCGCTACACTTAAGGAAGAAACTGGATTGGTTTCTAGGTAATAAGACGTGAATTTTCCCGCCAAATTAGCGGGGAAACAGAATTTACGTGTAGGTCGCCTGCTGTCAATTCCCCTAAGGTGTGTACAGGCCACGGCACATCACTTATTTTAAACTTAATAATTCCTTTAGCGCCCGAAGGCATCATAGAGGGAAGTGGACATACACTTCTAATTGCACACAAGTATAAAATGTAAGCATAAAATCCAAACAGAACATTGTCAATCGACACAAAACCTTTGTTAACAAACCCCAAAATGTATTCTCTTAGTGCAGCTTTGAACACGGCGCTATCGGCTATGCTCGCAATAAGCGTGGGAAGGCGATTCCACCTCAACAATGTCGTGGGTACGAAAGAATGATAAAATTGTGAGGTGCGACAGTGGCGGATGCCAACTTTATTTTGATGATCAACACGCCATGAGAGATAAGATGGTTGGGGTATGATATGCTGACGGAGGATCTGATTAGGGTGGTAGATCTTATAAAATAAACGCAGGCGACATATCTTTCCAGGGAGGGAGAGGTCAGGCAAGCTTAGGGTGGTTTTCATTGCTGTTACACTAGATGTGCGATGATAGTTATGGAGTATGAATCAAACAGAACGGTTTTGAGCAGCTTCTAGTGATGATGCAAGCGATGCGCCGAGGTCCCGGATAGCGGAAGAATACTCAAGTTTGCGGCGGACCAATGTTTTGTACATAAATAGTTTTAAGAACAGTGGGGCTAGTGGGAAGTTTTTTTTTCAGGAAGCCTAACATGCGGTTAGCATTTTTAATTATATACTGAATGTGAATGTTCCATGAGAGGTTGTTCGCAATATGAACAAGAAGATATTTGTATGAAAAAACAAATTACTGTGCGATAGTTCTTATTTGGTACGAGGGGCAGGTGTTATTTTGACGTGCTACTCATTGACTTGCACTTGCTAATATTTAATTTCATTTGCCCTTGATCACACCAACGAGAAACACTTTCAAGGTCAGATCGTAGTGACAGCAGAATCGTTAGTTACTTCAGAATAGAGTTCCCGCTAAATTTAGCAGAAAATGCTCGAACCGGGCGGATGGACGCACAAACAAAATTTCGGGATGGGCTTAGTGTTAAAAAGTATTTCATGCTTTAATCAGCTAGGTGGCAACAAAACTTCGTTTGCCATGCA